GGCAGGGATGGCAGTGCAGGAATGAGGAAAAATGAGCCACCAGCTCAGCACTGAGCCCGAGCTCCCTTCCCAAATCTCTCCAGAACTCCCATTTCTCACCTCTGTCTCACCCTAATGAGGCTACTCCACAGAGCTCTGGTGGTTCCCCGCTAATTTGATGTACAGAGAATTAAACCCTTAATCTTTTGGGTGCTTGTCTCTGACAAGATTAAGGACAGACCATTACAGGCAAAGAACTGATGGCACAAAATGTAAAATCCATTTGTTACAGCCAAGCTCTCAATCCATTCTCTTCAAACACAGAACTCTGGGCACTGTGAAGGAGGGAGGTTCAGGAGTTGCTGTGAGGTTGCCTGGAAGGAAAATCCGTGTTTTCTGGTCAGGAAGAAACCTCTCCCAAGCAGCAGTAAATTCAATATAACTGAGATTTCACACCAGGCAAGAGAGGCTCCTGTCCTCAGGAGAGGAGCTTCAGGTAAAGATCAAGGGCACAGTTAGCAGCATGAAGAGAATAAAATGGTTTGGGTTGGAAGGATTATCCACTCCTAGGCAGAGGCAATTTCCACTGGGTTGCTCCAAGCACCTTCCAACCTGAAAAAAAAACCCCTTTTTTCAACAAGCTGAACCATTGCAAGGCAAAGCAGGTCCCAGAGTGGAGAGAGCTGCAAGAAAAACGTCAGAACTGGCACAGAACTGATTCCTGGAGCAACCTCAGAGGGCTAAACCCAAGGAGGGACATTCCTGAAGCTCCTCCGTGCCTCCAGACACCTCCCCCTGATCCCACAGCCCAGAGGCAGCAGAGAGAACCCCGCAGCCTCTCTGGGTTCTGTCCCTGCCTCCCTGGTGCCCAGGGCAGCTCTCACTCCCCAACTGCTGCTGCTCCGAGCCCCAGGAGGGGCCAGGGGAGGGCACAGAGCCCTCCCAGCAGCAGCAGCAGCAATGAAATGAAGCAGAGCTGGAGCAGCATCTGCCCTGTCCCTGCTGCTGAATCCCCCATTTGCACAGGCTGCAGCACAGCCCAGCACACCAGTGTGGGCACACCAACAACAGCTCTGCTCCTGCTCACAGCCTGAGCCCCAGGGCAGGCAAAGGAAACTTCCCCCTCCTCCTCCTCCTCACACACAGCCCCACACCACCAAAACTGGGAAATGTTTATCATTAATTAGCTCTCAGCAGCTCTTCTGGGTGAAGATTCCTTTTTTTCAGAACAAAATGTTGTGTAAAACACGGCCCCAGGTTTTCCCTCGAGGGGAGCTGTGCCCAGCCCACACAGGGGCAGCCAGGAGGGAGTCTCAGCCTGCTCAGGGATAAAGGATGAGGAGCAGAGCCTGCCCTTCAGCCTCTCCAGCCCATCCTCCCAGGCTGACAGGAATGAAAAGGTCTCTTCAGCCCCTGGGTGCAGCAGGGATTGGGGTTTGGCATTTGGAAATGAAAATTGCTGCATGAGGAACTCGCTGCTGTGGCCACTGGCAGGTAAAGGACATTTAGAGTCACCTGTGAGACCATGAAACGTGCCAGTCATAAATGCACTCATTAGAATTAATTATAAATACATTTGGCTGGCCACACTCTCCTCTCCCTCCATCCCAACCCCCAGATCACCCCACATTTCATGCTTGGAGTGTTTTCCATTCAGAAAACCATTCCTACCCACCCAGGTAAACACCCACAGACACACTCTGGGTTATTGCAAGGCACAAAAGCAGCTCCTGGCTTGGCACAGACCATTCGTGACTCAAAGCACACACATGCACCAGGAACTCAGATCCTCACCGAGGGCTTTTCCTCTCCTCTGGCCACCCAACCAGGGCAGCCTGAATCCAGTTCCCATCTCTAATTCTAATTCTATAGAATTACAAATTCTATGGAATTTTCTAAAAAAGCCTGAAGCCCCTTTTAAGGCAAGCACAGCCCTGGGATCTCTCCTGCAGGGTATTTTTATTTTACCTCCTCATTTGCATCTTCTTCCAGCAACCAATATCCCTCATTTTAATATCAACTGTATCTCCCTATATTCAAAGCAAACTGTGCAAGGCAGGGCAGCAAGAAAATGATTTCATGCACTTCCCTTTTGCAAAGGCAGCTGCAACACTAAAATGGGGAACACTAAAGGAAGCATTCCTTTTGGAAAGGATGATTTGGGAGGTTATTCCTCTTTCTCTCCCTCTCTGTGCTTTTTCTGAGCCTTTTATTCCCCTTTTTCAGAAGGGGGGAGAGGGGCAGCATGCAGGGCTGTGAACATGCTCACACTGCACACCGCTGCCAGCAGCCAGCCCAGGGTGCCCCAGAGCCCTGGCATTGGGGACCCAGGGCTCCAGCAGCCCCCAGGGCAGGGCCAGCAGCCCCAGGTACTCACTCAGAGCCACGGGGCTCAGGGATGCAGCAGCCGGAGCTGGCGTTGCTATGGAAACACAAGGATGCACAGGGTGGGGACCAGGGGGTGACAGCAGGGAAACAGGGCAGGGTTCAGGAGGAGGGGACTGAGGGGGACAGCCAGCCCTGAGGCAGGGCTGGGGCACCCAGGGAGCTGCAGAAATCCTGCTGAGCCCTGCTGCTGCAGGGAGGGGGTCCTGGCAGCCCCAGGGAATGAGGGGGTGTGGGATGTGGGGTGATTGCAGTGCTGATTTGGGGTGATTGCAGTGCTGGTTTGTTCACAAAGGTATTTTGGTACCAGCCCCAGGAAATGAGATGTGAGATTTGGGATGAGAGCAGCACTGGTTTGGGGTGATTGCAGTGCTGGTTTGCACTGGAGGTATTTTGGTACCAGCCCCAAGGAATGAGGAGATGTGGGTTGATTGCAGAGCTGGTTTGTTCACAAAGGTATTTGAGATGAGGACATGTGAGATGTGGGACATGGGGTGATTGCAGTGCTGATTTGTACATAAAAGTATTTTGGCACCAAACCCAGGAAATGAGGAGATGTGGGGTGATTGCAGAGCTGCTTTGTACACAAAGGTATTTTGGCACCAAACCCAGGAAATGAGGAGATTTGGGATGGTTGCAGTGCTGGTTTGGGATGATTGCAGAGCTGCTCTGTACCCAAAGGTATTTTGGTACCAGCCCCAGGAGATGTGGGGTGATTGCAGTGCTTTTTTGGGGTGATTGCAGTGCTGGTTTGTACCCAAAGGTATTTTGGTACCAGCCCCAGGAGATGTAGGGTGTGGAGAGATGGCAGTGCTGGTACATAAAAGTACATAAAAAAATACATAAAAGTATTTTGGCACCAAACCCAGGGAATGAGGAGATTTGGGATGGTTGCAGTGCTTTTTTGGGGTGATTGCAGTGCTGGTTTGTACCCAAAGGTTATTTTGGCACCACACCACGCTCTGCTCTCTTTGAACACCTCTGGGTTCAAACCCCACCCCGCTCCTCCTCCAGCCTTTGTTTGGCTGCAGATTTGTAAGGAAAAGGAACTGAAGAAAAGCAGCAAATGGTTAAAATGAAAATACAAACCCAGGTCAACTCAGACACTCCTCCAATCTCCAGAATTCTCATCTGTGCCACTATAATCCGTAATTATCACTAATTACCTCATGGAGAGGCTCTCTAAGATAGACAGAAACTTCTCTTTCTTACTGAGGGAAATTAAATAAATCAAAATGACTTCAGACTTATCCCAGCAGGCATTAAAAATGGTGTCAGGTTTTACATTCAGACAGAGACTCTAAATAACAGGGCAAGGAAAACAAGTGGCCTTGGTTAATGTGAGCTGTAAAATTCCTGAGACATCTCTGTGACCTTCAAATCACTCCAGAGGCGACAAAAATTCCTCCTGCTTGTGTCTGCCCCCAAAGAGGCGATTGGAGCTCCAGCAGAGGTGGAGAAAAGGCATTTTTGTGGTGCCATTTCCAGGCAGGGTCTGAGAGGGGCTCTGGAAGGGAGCAGAGAACTGGGGGATGGTCCCAGGGCGATCCCAGATGCAGAGCTTCAAGGGCAGGATGGAATTGAAATAAAAAATGAATTAAAGGAAGAAGAACTGTAATTTACCCTGCACTGGGGAGCACAGAGGGACGGGCAGCTCGCTGCCACATGAAAATAATCATAAAAAAGCAAAAGACTCCAGCCCAGCAGTGCTGGAATGTTGTGCCACAAGGCTGGGGCTGCAGCAGAGCTTTTCCTGCTCTTTTTCCTCTCCTTTCCACTGCATTTCCCCTTTTCCTGCAGCACTGCAGGGGATCCCAGCCCTGCCCTCCCTGGGGTTCATCTCCAGCTCAGAAGGGATTGCCCCAATGCTCAGCCTGGGCTCCAACCCTGACCATCATCACCCTCATGGCGTTATTTTAATTATTGCTCCTGGAATTAACAGGATCCAAACAACCTCACACTGCACAAATGTTCTGGGAATGCCTCCCAGCGCCTCCCTAACTGCTGCAGTTTGCAGCCCTGCCTGTCTGTCTGTCCATCCATCCATCCATCCATCCATCCTTCCCCTTCCTGCTCCCCTACATCCAAGCTTTGGTCCCAGGCAATCTTTGAGGGGAAACAGCACAAGCAGGATTCAAATTCTGGGTTAAAAATAAAAATATAAAATAAAAATAATAAAATAATAAAAAATATGAAGAAAAATATTAAAAGATCCCCTCCTGTTTTTCACTTCAGAAATCTCAAAGAAGCTTCTTCAAGCTTGTCCTTGTAATCCTGGGAGTAGCAGCAGCTCCCCACAGGGAGGCACTGATAAATGCAATAATGCTCACTGGGATAAAGAGGATTTTATAGCTCCATTGATCAGGTTTGATTGGAAAGGCACAAAGCTATGGAGCCATCTCCACTTTTCACTCACAATTACACAAATCCATCACATTCCTGACTCATTTTGCATTGGAAGTGGGAACATGCCATTTATTTAAAATTTAGTATGAGGTTTATTTATTTAATCACACAATCTACACAAGTGCTGGAAGACTGTCCAATGGTAAAATCATTAGTGAGAAGAGGAAAAAAAAATTTTTTTCCTTCAATTTTGTGCTTTCAAAATTGGGAAGATATTCAAAATGCTGAAGTTTTTGGTTGGCTCTGGTCTAAACCAGATCTGCAATTTGGCTGAATTGATTTCCCTGAATGATCTCAGCATCATTAAAATTGAACTGTTTTTAATGGATTCATAAATATGAAGCCTTCCACTACTCCACTCTGAGTCAACAAGCTAACTATTATTATTTTGATTATTATTATGATTAGATAATCACTACATTAAATATTCCAACTGCATGCTGTGGAGCACAGACAAAGAGTTAACCCCAATTCTGTTCTAGACAAGAGCAGAGTGGCTACTCCAGGGTCAGTGTGGTTAGGGAATAAACACTACCAGTTACTCCATCCTACAGCCCCTGAGAGGAAAAAGGCACTACATTAAAAGAATTAAAAGCTGGAAGTGTTAGAGGAACACTCTAAAAACACAAAAAGAGAGACTGAAAGAAATGCAGAGAGCACTTACGTGGGTGAGGGATGCCTGCAGTTTATCCATGGAAGGGACACAGACCAAAAACGAAATAAAAAGACAGAAAGAGACACACAGAAACAAAACAAAAAAATAAAATATAAATGTAGAAGATGTGAGGAGACAGAGAATATGGAGCTGGAAAATCAGCATCCCACGTGTGCCCTGCTGAGCAGGGATGGGCAGAGCTCAGGGGACTCCAGGCATGCTTGGGATGGGCAGGGACAGCCCTGGGTCCAGCACAGGGGTCTGGAGAGAGAATTCAGCACAGGGGTCTGGAGAGAGAATTAATTCAGCTCAGGGTCTGGAGAGAGAATTCAGCTCAGGGTCTGGAGAGAGAATTGAGCACAGGAGTCTGGAGAGAGAATTGAGCACAGGGGTCTGGAGAGAGAATTAATTCAGCTCAGGGTCTGGAGAGAGAATTCAGCTCAGGGTCTGGAGAGAGAATTCCAGCTCAGGGCTGGGAGCAGCAGCCAGGGCTGGATGCAGGAGCAAAGGGACAGAACCAGGTCAAACTCCTCTCCCTGCCTGCTCTGGTCACTCCTGCCCTGCCCACTGCACCTTCCATCCTCTCCTCCCGCTCTCCTTCCCACCCTGAACAGCTCCCTGGGGTTTAACTCCTCCCTGAACAGGAGGACAGTGCTGGGCCACAGCAGAACATGGCAATGGCCCAGGCAGAGCAGAGCAGAGCCTGAGGAACCCATGGAATCCCTGCAGGGCTTCAGGGCATCTCAAACACAGCAACCCTCCCTCCTTTCACCTTCCACAGCCCAAGGCCAGTCCTGTGCTGGACACCTCAGTGTGGAAAACAAACCTTGTGACAGTGACATCACATTCTCTGTGACCAAACCCCTCCTCAGCTGCTTTTCCTCATTAAAATTCTCCTTGGCAGCACCAAGGCTGAGCTGCAAACACCAACCAGCGCACGCGGAACAACTCCTCCCTTCAAAGAAACCTCTGAATTACCAACCAAACCCAAAGCCACGGAGAAACCGGAGGGTGCAGCGAGGTCTGTGAGGGAGAAGAGGTGAGCTCCATGCACGGGGAGGCTGCAGGGAGGCCGGCCTGCGCTGTACTTACGAACTGGCTGCGTCTTGAACTCGGCGGGCGGGCTGAGCTCCCCCACGCCCTTGCCATTGACTGCTGACAGCCTCACTGCATACGTGGTCTCAGGCTTCAGCCCCGTGATGGTCACTGCGCCCTCCACGTTGGCTGGGGGCAGAAAAAGCACAGAAAAGCTCAGGGCTCCAAAAAATAAATGAACAAGCTTTGGTTTTCCCCATTCGGGGAGAAAAGGGATAAACAGAGCTGGCTCTAGCCGGGATCACACCACCGCAGTGGGGAATAAAATAATAATTTCAGCTCCACATGGGATTGGTGATGGAGGATTGAGCACTGGAGCAGAACTCTCCCTTTTACAGCCCTCCCCAAATCAGAATTATTTTGCTTTATTTGACGTCAGGATGGATTTTGTGCCACAAGCACTGCTATAGATCACCTCAACAGGACGGGTTAGCTGCTGGAATAGCTGAGTTTATTGTCCAAGGGGTGACAGATGAGGGTTCAAAAGCCTCCTGTGGGAAGCAGCAAGTGAAAACTGCAATTCCAAGCACAGGGTTCTTGAGCTCTCAGCAAAGCCCAACCCTCACTTCCAGCCGAAAATTCCACGAGACACTCACAGCAAATATCTAAAATGTGTAAATATTTAAAAACGTAAAAACTTGTCTGGAGCCTCCAGCGTGAACCCTCCACCCTGCCTGGACAGGAAAGTCCATGATTTTCAGTGCTGCTGGGGAAGGAACCAGTGCTTATTGTCACCCCTACCTTCCTTGGCATCGTAGAGCCGGGAGTGCCAGTCGCCCTCGCCCAGCGCCCTCCACTCCGCCTTGTACCTGAGGATGGGCACCCCGCCCGTGGCCTCGGGCTCCTCAAACTCCACCTGGGCGCTGCTGGAGTAGGGCTCCACCCTGCCGATGGAGGGCGAGGACGGCGTGTCTGGGGACAAGGGACAGCAGCGTGAGACACGGAGCTGGGCAAGGGGCTCAAACAGCACGGGACAGGGTGGGGCTGAGCCTCACACAGGGTTTAGAGATGTTAATTAGTGCAGGGATGTTAATTTGGGCTCCTCTCTAAGAGGGTGGAGACTGCCAGTCCCTTCTCCAAAAGGGAACAATGAGGGCAGTGCAGCAAAATTATCCCGGATGCCACTCTGTCCCCAGTGTCCCGTCCACAGAGCTCTGATGTCACTCTGTCCCCACTGTCCCTCTGAGCTCTGGATGTCACTCTGTCCCTCGACAGGACACTGCAGTCCTGGCTGCCACTCTGGGCTCTGAGTTCTGGATGTCACTCTGTCCCCTCTGTCCCTTGACAGGACTCTGCAGTCCTGGATGTCAGTCTGTCCCCAGTGTCCCTTTCACAGAGCTCTGATGCCACTCTGTCCCTTGACACGACACTGCAGTCCTGGCTGCCACTGTCCCCTCTGTCCCTTCCACAGGGCTCTGAGTTCTGGATGTCACTCTGTCCCCTCTGTCCCTTCCACAGAGCTCTATGGTGGGAATCCACAAAACCAGAGGGTTTTGGGAAAGCTGCACAAGACAGCCCTCAGAGACAGCAGAACTGTGACTGGAGCCAAGCAGGAGCCATGAGATTGGTCAGCAGAAAAGTTATGTAAGAAGTAGAAAAGTAAAGACAAATAGAACAATGGTCTGTGTGTTAATGCTTGGCTAGAATGACTCCCTAGCTGCAGTAAAGTTTAAAGTTTATCTAGGGAGATATCAGGAAGTTCTAAGCTTAATAATGGAGTTTAATAATGCCCAAACACACCCCTGTGGCACCCTGGAGCCCTCCCAGGCTGGCCAAGCTCAGCTCAGCTGCTCTCAGGGGTTTTGCTGAGCTGGGGTGCCCAAACCCAAATCACAGCTCTGGGAGCACAGGGAAGAACAAACCCCTGGGGAAACGAGGGACCAGAGATGCTGAGCAGCTCCAAGGCAGCAGGAATGTGTGAACAGC